TTCCCCCCCCTCCCCCACCCCGTGACCTTTGATCCCTGCCGCCCCTCCCCCTCCCCCGATGAAACTCCCCCTCCCCCCCCCGTTTCTCCGGCCGCCCCTCCCCCACCTGGCGCATCAGCAGCTGCCGCCCCTCCCCCCCGGCCGTGGCGAGGCCTCGCGGGGTCGCGACTGTCGCGATAGTCGCGATGGCGGCGGCCGAGAGGCGGCGGAGCAACATGGCGGCGGCGGCGGGGCCCAGGGGAGAGCGCGGCCCCTTTAAGAGCGCGAGGGGGCGGGGCTGAGGAGAGGCGGGAGGTTCCTTAAAAGGGCAACGGCGAAGGGGGCGGGGCCGGCCTTAAAGGGGCAACGCATGGGGGAGGTTTTATTTCTATTTCTATTTTTATTTCTGTTTTTATTTCTATTTTTATTTCTATTTCTATTTCTATTTTTATTTCTGTTTTTATTTCTATTTCTATTTTTATTTTTATTTCTATTTTTACTTCTATTCCTGTTTTTATTTCTATTTATATTTCTATTTTTATTTGTATTTTAGTTTCTATTTATTTTTATTTGTTTTTATTTCTATTTTTATTTCTGTTTTTATTTCTATTTATATTTCTATTTTTATTTCTATTTTAGTTATTATTTATTTTTATTTCTGTTTTTATTTCTATTTTTATTTCTATTTTCATTTCTATTTCTATTTATTTATATTTCTACTTTTATTTCTATTTCAGTTTCTATTTATTTTTATTTCTGTTTTTATTTCTATTTTTATTTCTATTTTTATTTCTATTTATATTTCTATTTCAGTTTCTATTTATTTTTATTTCTGTTTTTATTTCTATTTCTATTTCTATTTTTATTTCTATTTTTACTTCTATTTCTATTTTTATTTTTATTTCTATTTTAGTTTCTATCTATTTCTATTTCTGTTTTTATTTCTCTTTTTTTTTCTATTTCTATTTTTATTCCTATTTTTATTCCTATTTCTAATTTTAATTAATTTTAACTTGTATTTATATTCATATTGCTATTTTACTGTATTTTACTTTTTTTATTTATTTTTTATTTATTTTTACTTTTATTTATATTATTTATATTTAATCACCCAAGCCCCTCATTAATGCCCCAAACCACTCATTAATCAACCAAGACCCTCATTAATTACAAAAAATCTTCATTAATCATCCAAAACCTCTCATTAATCACCCCAAACCCTCATTAATTACCAAAACCCCTCATTAATCACCCCAAACCTTCATTAATCAGCCAAAACCCCCCATTAATTACCAAGAACCCTCATTAATTACCAAAACCCCTCATTAATCACCCGTAACCTCCCATTAATTACCACAAAACCCCTCGTTAATCACCCCAGATCCTCATTAATCGCCCGTAACCTCCCATTAATTACCAAAAAACCCCTCGTTAATCACCCCAAACCCCCTCGTTAATTATGCAAAAACCGCTTTATTTCCCCTCAGGTTTACATCACCGCCGCCGATGACGTCACCGATGACGTCGCCGATGACGTCACGCGCGCCGCGCCACGGCGTAGGGCTGGGCCGGCAGGGGGCGCTGTCGCTCCCCGCAGAGCAGCAGCCAATGGGGACGCACGAAGGTCAGCGAGGGGCGGAGCTCCAGCGCCTGTGGGGGCGGGGCTTCGTTAATGAGGGGAGGGGCTTAATGAGGGGGAGGGGTTTGAATAATGAGGGGGTGGGGCTTAATGAATGAGAGGGGTTTAAATAATGAAGGGGAGGGGCTTTGCTAATGAAGAGGGAGGGGCTTAATGAGGGGGGTTCGTTAATGAAGGGGGAGGGGTCTGGTTAATGAGGGGAGGAGTTTGTTAATGAACGGGGAGGAGCTTAAGAGGGAGGGATTTTGTTAATGAAGGGGGAGGGGCTCAGTTAAAGGGGGAGGAGTTCGTTAATGAAGGGGGAGGGGTTTGGTTAATGAGGGGGCAGGGCTCAGTTAATGAAGGGGAGGGGTCCAGTCAGGCCCCGCCCCCTTGCTCCAGGCCACACCCCCTCTCCAGGCCCCGCCCCCTCTCTCCAGGCC